CTCCAGAGTCTACCCAAGATCCCAGAGGAGGCTGAAGCAACCCTAGCCCACAGCAGGAAAGGGGCTTTGTCCTGCTCTTTGGGAGGAGCCATATGGCCATACATGGTCACCCCTTGCAGGGTCTTACATCTCGGGCCAGACCTGTTTTTGCCTCCTACCTGGTCTCAATGACTCTCCAGACTCTTCAGTATGTTTTTGGCTTTGCTGGCTTCTCCGACCTAGGCTTCTCCCATTGTCTTCCTGAGTTACGGGAAGATTCCTTATTTCTCATACCCACTCCCACCTCTCAACCTGCCCCGCCCGCCCTCTCTAACTACAGGAGGGCTTATCCCAGGGAGCACCTAATGAGCTTTCCCATCGCCTTCAGAGTGCCCTTCTGCCAAGGATATTCCTCAGCTCTCCAAACCACAGCCTGGGCATCGCTGTGGGACATGGGCTGGTAGATGAGAGGTGGGATCTGCACCTCCTGGGCAGGGCCACAGCCTCGAAGTGTTCTCTCCTCCTATGCCTGGCCTGACCCGCTCCAGGAGACTCTCTTTCTACAGCTGACCATTCTCCTCCGTCCCGGCCAGGGCTGGGGGGTGAGGGAGGCTTGATGTAATCTCCCAAAGAGAAGAAACGCCTCTACCCCGGCTCCTCTCCTCGTCGTTGCGGTGTGCTTCTCTCACCCAGGGAACGTTCCAGACACCAGTGAAAGTTCAGCGGCAGCTGTTCGGCATTTACATTTTACACAGTGCAAGGTTATTTGACTGCCACGATTTGATCTTCTCTAGTTAATAACCTTGACTTATGGAATAATAGCAGCAATGGCTCAGTTCCTTCTCCCGCCAGGGATTCCTGCTGCTGGGAGTGGTGGGTGGGCAGAGACCCCTCTCTCCGAGACCCTCTGTCTTCTTGTCCCACAGGGAAGGGGACCCCGCAGGACTAGAGAAATCCAACAGGCTATGCCGACGGTCAGGTCTGCTAGCAGCATCTCCTCCACTTCCTCTCTTTACGGAACAGGACCCCTGGCTCTGGCCCCTTTCTTTGGGTACCACCCTCTCCTGCCTCTTGCTGTCCTCCTCAGTCCAGAGCCACAGGTAGAATGGGCTGCGATCTTGATCCCTCTCCTCTCCGGGAGTCCTTCCTGGCAAGGGTTAACTGTGTGTATAAAATTGATTGCGATTTTAGTAATTCGGTATAATCACAGCCTACCAGCAGGTTGCTTTTCCAGCAGGAGGGTTTGGAATTATTTTCTGGAGTTTGCAATATAGAACTTAAATTAAGCCTCAGAAGTCAGGGGGAGCTCCGCAGCATCCCCAATGTGGTGCTAAATTCTCAGCAGCACAGTCTCCGTATTAAAGCCTTTGCTGGCAATTAGGTTCATTAACTATCACAATACCTTATTTATTACTCGTCGTGCCATATGGTTTCCCAGCTAAAGAATGGCGCCCGTTCTCCTACAGACCATTTGGCATCATAAAAATGTTAACAAATAATATTATGGCTCTCGGGGGCACAAGGCCTTGCTGGGTTCTGGGTCTGAGCGGCGGGAGAGAATATGAAAACATTTTTCTTCTATGGTGAAATAAAAAATTTCTCAAGACAGAAGTATTCAAAGAATATAGCACTTGCATAACATAAATGGGAGTTTTATTTACTCTCGTAATGGTTATGTCAATATTTGCATCAGCCAGGACTTTCACTCATCTTCTTCTCTGCTCTCTTTTGGGGTTGTTTTCACTTTCAGCTTCCCCCTTGTACTGCTCGACTTCCAAGGCAGGAGGCCAACTACAGCCGGCACCACCCCAAGGCGTGGGGGTGAACTGCTGGTGGGGTGAGGGCTGCACTGGGATTCTCCCACAATTCACCCATCTCAGGGTCTATTGCAGCTCAGCCACATGGGTGCGGCTGCCTTCTCTGCCCAAATCCTGCCTCAAGGCTTCTTCTCCCAGTTCTATCTTCAGCCAGTGTTTTCAGCAGAAATTGGGAAGCGACGCACGTGCCAATGTCGCCCTGTGATGAGCAGACGGTCTGCTGCCCAGGCCTTGCCAGTCCTCCCACTGTGGAGGGTGGGCATCCGGGTGGCTGAAGCTGGAAGTGAAAACCTCAGGAGGATGGGAGAGGTGCAGTGCAAAGGGCCAGTCTGAGAAAACCAACCCGAGAGGGCAAAGCATCTCGTTGTTCCTTATCCCCTGGACGTGGAAGTACGAGGCCTATGCCTGGGGGTTATAAGCAAAAATTAAAGAGAGGAAGAACTCTCTGCCAGTTCTTCAGTGTGCAATAAGCAGGTCCCCCAGCTGTGAGGGGCTCCCCTATTCCCCGGCCATGGCTTTCCTCTGAAATGGAGGGTCTTCATGGGCAGTATTCCAGTGCCAGTTCCAGAGAGAACTTTGTGACTTACCTTCTCCCAAATGACTCCTTAGAGTCCCTGGGGACGCTCCTTGGGAAGCAATATAATGTAATGGTTAAAATCATATACACTGGACCTGGACTTCCTAGTTTTGAATCCTAGTGTTGCCATCTACTAGCTGTGTAAGCTTTTCATGGCTCAGTGTCTTCATCTGTAAAATGGGGATCATACTAATACCCACCCCCACAGGGTTGTTCCAAGGACTAAATGAATTGGTCTCTCGAGGGGCCTAGGACAGCAGGTGCGATGCACAGGACAGCTACAATTGGGAACAGTTCTCCTGGACTGTCCCTTTTCTTTGCTCTGATATTTCCTTTTATCCCTTTGAAGCATTTGGGAGGGAAGACAGCTCCCTCCCAATAACTGCGTCACCCCCAAATCCTGATCCTGACTCTGTGATGGAGCCATGTGGGCAGGGACAGCGCCAGGATGATATCGTCCCCTTTCACACACCGTTTCCTCTGCTATGATGACACGTTGTCATCTGGTGCTCACAAATGCTATGACCCCTCTGCACACACGCCCCCCTCCACCAACCAGCAAACCTGGTGGGCTGCAGCTAATGGAGACCTGCTTGGCATCACAGGCTGAGAATGTTAGGCCAGATGAGACCTCAGAGCTGACCAGAGAAGGTGGTGACATGGCCACAGTCATACAGCCAGGAAAGGGCAGAAGCAAGTCCCCAGGCTAAGGCCCCCAGCTCCACTCAGCAGATCAGTGAGGAAGGGAACAGTGTGGCAGAGGAGAACTCCAAATTCCACTAACAAATTCCATTGTCAATTACATGCAAAGCACAGAAAGCATGAGGCCCACTGTTGACATCAGCAGATGAGACTCTGGGATGAGCCGACTGTGGCCTGACAGCCCCAGGAGAGCTGTCTCTCATGCTCAATCTGCTGGGCCCCAGGGTCCCTGGACAGACACAGGCTGATCCCGGAGAGGACCGTGTCAAAGGAAGCCTGTTCCCATTCCCACGAGCCTGCTTCGGAATTCGAGGTGAGGGTGGCTGACGGCCCCATCGCGTCAGCCCTGCTGGCTCCTCGGGAATCACTCCCTCTGTCCAACGGCACTGGGCTTCCCTTCCTGCTGGTTTTTTCTTACTGGTCGCAGTGACTAGTCTGTTTCCCCTTTGCTTCTCCAAGAGGCATTCCTCTTGGGGAAACTCTTCTAGGAGGAAGGGTACAGGAGCAAAGACGCACGTGCGTGTATGTGTTCCCACATGCACAGACACAAGCAGACACCATGGCTAAGATGTGCACAGCCCGGTGACAGCTTCTTTCAGGACACGTCATCAGACTCCCAGAGCTCCCCTTTCACTTTCCAGGCCCCCACTTATTAACTGGCTGTCTTTGGGCCCGTTTGCCAGTACCTCTCTACTTCATCTTCCGCATCTGTAAATGGGGACAAGGATTCACCTCAGGGCATTGCTGTGATGATCAAATAGTACATGTGAAAAGCTTAAAACATCGCCCTGTAACATGCACTCAATAACTGCTATTACTATAGTCGTTAATATGATGTATGAGCATCCACCATGGCTCAGGCTCTATTATCTATATGTTATATATATATATATTTTTCTACGTTTTATCTCAGTCTTCAACGACCACCTGAAGGTAGATATTCTCTTCTCCATTTTACAGAAGACAAGACTAAGGCTCAGAAAGGAGAGGAGCTAGCTAATGGAAACACAGGCATTGGAGTCCACATCCTTGACGAAGTCCAGCGCATGTTCGGACATAGGGATGGCTTTTCTCTGCTCCCAGAAAGGGCAGGCACGGGGAGTGCATAGGCCCCAGGAACTCTGTGAGGGCTGAGGCACCACGACAGCCTGTTCCACTTCTGAGGGTCACGCCGCCCCCTGATGTTGCCCCTGCCCAGCTCCCTCCCTCGGCAGGTGGGAAGGGGAGGGTTAGGCGGTCAGACCTGCCATCTATACCAGGACTGTGCCCTCCAGCCAAGCCTAGGGGGAGGAAGGCCAGAGCCATCAGGAGTAAATCTACCGAGAGCTGTGACTATGAGGAAGAGGAAAGAGGAGGAGAGGACCAAGAGATTGTTTTCAGGAACATTAGACAGAGACCGGAGAGAAGTGGGTAATTTTAATCCATGCAGCTGCTGGAAATTAATTTAATTGTGCTGGCGCTGGCTCTTCTCCCTTCCAACTCATTTCATCAAGGGCCTGATGGAGGGCCAAGCCTGAAGAAAACGGCCAGCCCCTCCAGGCAGCCTTGGGTACTGCAGCCCCAGAATCCTAGGGCTGCTACCAGAGCTGATGGGTAAGCTGGCATTTTTTTCAATCTAGACTCTTCTCTTCTTGAGAGGGGACTGACGTAAGACAACAGGAAGAACTTTCCAGGAGCAAAGAGTATGAACTATGCTAATGGGGAAAACAGACTTTAAAACATCCTCTCTGACTCCTAAGGACAAGAGAGAGATTGACAGGACCCTTTGCTTCTTTTTTTTTTTTTTCTTTTTTAAGGTTTTATTTTTCCTTTTTCTCCCCAAAGCCCCCCAGTACATAGTTGTATATTCTTCGTTGTGGGTCCTTCTAGTTGTGGCATGTGGGACGCTGCCTCAGCGTGGTTTGATGAGCCGTGCCATGTCCGCGCCCAGGATTCGAACCAACGAAACACTGGGCCGCCTGCAGCGGAGCGCGCGAACTTAACCACTCGGCCACGGGGCCAGCCCCAGGACCCTTTGCTTCTTGAGACTGTGCCCAGGTTACGAGTTCCACCCCAGCTCACTCACCCTATGCAGCCACTCACTCAGGCACAGGACCCCCACGGTCGTCAGACACCAGCATCAGAGACACGCCGTCAGGGAGGCACAAAAGCCCATACGGGTGCTCAGACACTCTACTCAGGGGCACACTTGAGAGCAGACATACTCGGCCATATTCAGACGCTGGCATCAAAGCCACCTGCTCTGGCACACGCACATTAGAGGGCAACGAATGCCCGATTTTGACCAACGGCTCTTAATCCCGGCTGCACATTAAAATGACCTGCGGACCTTAAAAAAAACCGACGCGAGGTCCCACCGTCGGAGACTGGTTTGCGGTGGGGCCTAGACACGGGGTATTTTCAAAGCTCCCAGGTGATTCTAAGGCGCAAACCTGGGGTGAGACCCGCGGAGGGTTGAGACAAACCCTGCCTGCTTCCCCCTCTGGCCCAGCGTCCTGTTCAGTTCTACCTTGTGACCACTAGAGGTCAGCAGGGCTTGGAGGAAGCGGCAGCGGGGGTCCGGCCGACCCTGCCCGGCTCCCGGCGCGCGGCGGTCCAGCCTTCTCGCCGCTGTGGCCTCGAGCGGATGGAGGGCAGGCGCTGACTCGGCCCTGGGCTGACAGCGGACACCGCGAGGGGGCGGAGGCGGCCTGCTGGCAGGATCAAGGCCTGTGAGCCACAGAAAGTCAACTTCACTTACAAGATCTTTTTCAAAGTATCCCCCATTAAAACCTCACAACCCAGGCCTCCCGCACCGAGCGCCTCTCTGCATCATGATTTTCTCACCTGATCACTGCTCGGCTCTGCGCGCAGGTGGGCGCGCGCTGAAGATGCGCGCACAGCCGTGCCAGGCACCCCGGGGACCTCTATCAATATAAAAGGAAAATATTTTGCGTTTTCCGTAGGAGGAGCCAGCGTTTGGATTCCAACGGTTGTTTATTTTGACTGACTGCTGTTTTTGCTGGAGAAGAGTAAAGCAGAAAGTTCCTTTACTTTGGCTGAGATGGGGCACGCATAACCGCACTGAGGCCGAATTTCAGACGAGCAAACAAGTGAACCAGTGGTTCAATCTTCTTTTATCATCTTCAAAGAGAATACTGTCAAGGATGGAGAGAAAGGAGGCTTCCCTTCACTTCAGCTTAATAGAATAAAAGCAAGGCTAATCTACCTGCCCCTGATAACACCCGACCTCAAAAATAAAAAACGGGGAGGCCTCCCTGCTCCACTCCCGGCTCCTCCTTCCAGTTCCAGCTCCTGGACGCCTCCCGGGCACATTGCACATGCGTGCTCCCGCGCTGCCCACAACACAGTCTTGATCGCTCTTTACAATGTCCACCTCGCCCTCCGAGCTGCGAGTCTGCTTGATGGCGAAGTTCCTGGCACATGGCAGGTGTGCGATAAATATCTGTGAAACCAAAATGTTTGTTGCCAATCTTGTCTTGAATCTAACTTGCACAGTATTTAAAATCGACTCACAGAGAAATTTTTCTAGACCCTTCTCTATTCAGTTCCAAAGACCCCCTCCTTCTTAACTCTCAAACGTTTGGGGGAAATTTGTTTAAAATGCAGATTCTTGAACTTCAGGCCCCTAGAGACAGTGACTGGGTAGGTTTTAGAGTGGCGTTCAGGAACCTGCGTTTTTGACAAATGCCTAAGTGGTTGTGAATTATTAGGGGGATGAGTCCTCCCTGCCCCCCGACCTCCCCAGCTCCTGGCTGGGCTCTTTATACCGGGCCTTGACTACAGCCCTGGTCCCTTCAGGGGGAGGCCGGGATGGTTTTTGCTGCTCCCACAGGGACTTGGGTCCTTCTGTCCTTCCAGCAGGGAGTGCTGAGTTCTCTCATGGCCTCCAGCAGAGCGAGGTCAGGGTTCTCCTCTGCCCCACCTGGTCTGGGACACTCTCAACAGCGCAGCTGCTTTCTTTTCTCCTCCTATTTCATGCCACTCTTTTCCTTGGTTTCCCTTACCCATCCCAGGAGTGGGCAGGACCAACATGCCAGGCCTCCATCCCAGGATGGGACAATTGTGGGGGGGTCCTAGAACTACACTTGGGGCTGAACTTGGGGCCCTTGTGGATGTGGTTCTGGGTCTTAGCCTGGCCCTCATTGGAATGAAGGGATATAGGGCAGCCAGAGGAGAGAGGGGTCTGAGGACCTAGAGTTTCCCCAGCAGCCTGGGCCCCACCTGGCCACTGCCCCGACCTCCATCAAAACCCTCTTCATAACCACTCAAGAGACATGGTCATGATGAATTCTACAGCCCATTCTCCCTTCTCACAAAGACGCTGTCAAAAAGGCCACCCCTCAGGGAGCAATCTCTGTAAGTCCAACCAGATCAGGAAAAAGAAAAACTTCAATAAAAACAGCTACCATTATTGAGCACACTACATTGCAGACATTGGACTAGGCTCCTTGATATACATCCCATTAAAACTCATACCAGTGTTGAAAAGTAGCCACACATGTTATTCTCTCCGTTTCTCAGGTGAGACAGAGAGTTTCAGCAGTTTGCCCAGGACGCATAGCTAGTGAGTGGAAGAGATGGGATTTGAGCTCAGATCTGTCCAGCCCAAGCTCCAAAACTCAGCCTTTACTGAAGAGAAGGTAACACCTCTTACTGCTCTGCCCAGGGCTGTTTTGTGTAGGCACTCTCTAGGGAAAGAGCCTAGGGCCAGAGAGGTCTCTGAAACTGTTTGACACATGAAAAACCACTGATTCCAAATACAAAGAGAAAATGACAAAAATGTTAAAAAACCCTTATTTAAAGGACAACAAAACAACATTATGACAAGTAGTTAATCACAGCTCACCTCTTAGACAGTTTTATACAGATGATGTTTAGTGAGGGGCATATGCATGTTCCATGTTCTGATAATCTAGGAGTGGCTCCTAAAGAAGCAGGATCTAGGATCTGTCACCACCACGCCCACCCCACCTGGCCCTACGGCTCTATCAACATTGTCACCTGCCCAGCTTCCCACCACAGAAACATGAAGGAGTGCAAAGAGGACAAGAGTACAGGATCCTGACAGCCACTTCTTATTTCAGTTTTCCTGCCTGCAGAATGGAGATAATAATTGTCCTACCTAGTCACGAGGCACAAATAAAACCATTTTTTGAAGAGCATCAAGTCCTATAGTCTAACCAAAGAGCCTGATTCTAAAGGATGATAATCTCTCAAGATGGAAAATACAGGCTCAAATAAAACAAGGAAACATATACATAATTTTCATATGTGAAAAACATTCCCAGTGCCTTATGTTACTCTCTCCTGTCCCAGATCTCACAAGGTTTCAGATTTCGTAAGGATAATTACTAACACTTACATAGCACCTCACATTCCTTATCCCACACAGCCATCCTAACTATGGTGTAAAGCAAGTAGGACCCTCTCTCCTTATTTCTGTCACAGAAACAATATGACTGAGGCACAGAGACGTGAAGTGACTTGAGGATCTCCCAAATAGGAAGAGCTGAAGCCTGTAAGACTGATCCGGCACCAGCCCTTCTTACTAGCTGTGTGACCTTAGGCTACTTATGTAATTCTCTGAGCCTAAACTTTCTCATTTGGAAATGCGTATAGGAAGAATAATCTTTAAAATGGCATATAGCAGTCATACCTATCTTTTAGGATTGCTGTGAGGTTAAATAAGAAAAAGCATGAAAAATCACTCAGCAGAGTTACTATATAGTTAATGCTCAGCAAATGTAGGTGTCATTGTTGTGTATTATTACTAGAGCTATTATTATCCAGCATACATGCATAGTCTTCCTTCGCTAAGCATCTCCCAAACCAACACATACATGCACTTTCTTTTCAGGAATAAAGATCTCAATCGGAGCTCCTTGGGGACACCTGGCCAAAATGTCAGCCTGACTTTGGCTTGATTCTCAAGATCATGCAAAGAAGACAGAAAAGTTAGACACAGAGGAGGAAGGAAAACAAAGAGATGGGAGCTTAGACAAAAAGGGGGGGAGGAGGAGAGCCAGGCAGAAAGCTGGGTTCGTAGAGTGCAGGTACTAAAGCTACAAATCAGTTACACACCTCTGACCCTGGCAGCTTGGGGAAGCCTGATGCCAAAGGGCAAAGTCTAAAAATAGGCCCTGGGCAGCCGGGGAGGTGCCAGGTTACTTGGGAACCTAGTTTCACTTGATTACCAACAACTTCACAGGAAAATATAAAGAAGTTAGTTCAAAGGCTGGAGTCACACTTAGGCCGGCTATAAAGTTACACGGCCCAGGCAGAGGACTGAAGGTAACCCTCTGCACACACACCCCTCAGTGTGGTGACAGTGGGGAAGAGCCCTGGGAGGCTGGGCTAGCTGGCTTGTGAGGTCCCAGTCCTCTGCCCAGCACTAACCTCCTAGATCAGGCTATCCCTCTGGCCACCAGTGATGAGCTGGGTCCACATCAGTTTTGCTCCAATTCTTAAGCCATCTTGAGCATGGGTGACCTTGGAGTTAGACTTTGAAGGGTAAACGACTCTTGCCCAGACAGACAGGGAAGGGTACCTCGGGCAGAGGACACAGCCCGTCCAAAGCCAACATGGTCCATTGAACACATGACGGTGTTGAGGAGGCAGGATGGTGCCAATTTGTAAAGGTCTTAAAGGCCATCCAAGTGGTTTAGGCCTTTTTTAAATAAAATGTAGGCCATGAGAAGAGCCATTGAAGGATTTTCAGTAGGGAGTGACATATCTGTCCTTTAGGAAAATAATTTCAGTGGCCATTTGGAGAGGAGGTTGCCAAGAGGTGGTTAGAAGCAAGTTGGCAAAGTGAGCCAGTCCTCCCCCAAGGTCATTCTACCCTTTCGTTATTTTGATGATCTTTCTAGACAAAGAAGGATCATATGACATGATAGAAAAGGAGAGAAAACTCGGAGAAAGCTCTAATGAGGAGGGCCAGGACTAGGGGAGGCAAGTGTGGTGTCTAGGATGCAATATCTAACGAGGCATCATTCTCAGAATCCTGAAGATGCCCCGAGAGTGATGCCTCCTTAAACTTTGTACCCTGGCTGGCTCACCTGCCATCCTCTCGTCCTGGCCCTGCTCAGGAGTCTGTCATTACCAGCCCCATCTGGAGGCGGTCCTCCTGTGATCTCTCCATGGGGGCAGGCATGGGGAGCCAGCAGCCCTGTGTTCATTTGTAGGACGTTTAAATGCAAAGATAAGGGCACCAGCAGCCGGTGGACCTGGATCCAAGTCCTAACTCTATCCTGGATGATCTCAGTCAAGTTGTTGCGCCTTGTGAGCCTGGTGTCCTCATTTATGAAATAGTAAAATGATGTGAAAGTGCTGGGTACCGTGCTGTACAGATTCCAGGCACTGTCACTCCTCCTGCCTTCTCCTTGGCTGGCACCCCCTTCTAGAGAGCGGGCATATCATGATACACGAGGATGCTTCTTTTGGAAGCAGCATCCGTAAAAATAACTTTAGCGCCATCGGCATGGCTACCTCAGAGCCTGCAGAAGGACGGCTTTTTCTTCCCTGGCTGTTACTTATTTGAGCCTGAATCCCTGGTTCTCAAGAACATGTTGCTTGTTTGTTTAAAAAGTCTTCCTGGAGAGAGAGAGAGAGAAAAAAAAAAAAAAGCAGCACATTTCTTGTTTTGTTCTTTCACTCTTTGAAGAGATATTTATTTGGCCTTACTCTATGCAAGCATTGTCCTGGGGCTCTGGATGCCACAACCTGAGTGATGAGTCCAGCCCTGGGCCCTCAGGGAGCTTACATTCACTAGACGGGGGCTGGAACGTGGCTCTGGGGAGAGGAGCCAGGAAACAAACAAGCAGCCTTATAAACAAAGGAAACAATTTCCAGTAGTAACAAGTGCTGTGAAAACAATAGAGCAGGGCAGGGGGGCTGGGGGACAGAGGGCAGCTCCTGGGGCAGTCAGTTGTAGGGAGGATTTCTCCAGGGATGTGCCATTTGAGCTGAGTTCTTAACAGGGAAACAAGTGTATTGTGTAATGGAAGGGGAGATTGGCATGGGGGGAGGCGGGGGGTACATCAAGTGCAAAGGCCCTGAGGTGGGAACTAGCAACCTTTAGTTACGGTATCTGCTTTGAGTCAAGTGTACAGCGTTGGGCACGATTTCTGAAAAAGAGAGGAACAAATGTGTTTCTCGACCTGATTCAAAGGACCATATCTATACCTGTATCTTTAATTCTCCATCCCCCTCTCTGTACCAAGGACACTTTATTTGGGTCACAGCTAAACACTCCCCTAACTACTCCACCCTGCCCCCATCCCCCACTCCTTCCTCTATGACCTGGCCATGGCTTCACCACTGATATTTCCTTTCCTTTTTAGAACCACAAAGAACCATCACTGACAGATGCACCTTACCATTTCCTGCCCAAGCTGAAGCCCAGCTTGCCGTGTCCATTTTGCCTGCTCTTGTGTGGAGGTA